CTTAACCTCCTGGCCCAAACACCTGGAGGAACAGCCAAGTCTTTTTATGCCTTGCAAAAGGCTAACTGGGTCAGGGCCATCCACATGGTTGAAAGGATGCTGTGTTACAGGGCAGTTGCTGCAACAGGGAAAGCATGACGCTTGGATCCAACATGATGACATTGTTTAATGGGAGGGATCCAGAGCAACCCCTCTGGGATCTAACAGTGCAAGCAGAATTGATGGGAGACAGGTATGGATATCAAGTCATTTCTATTACACCATATATGGAAGCTAGTCCTTTGCTCAATTCCATGGCTCATAAAGTTCTGTCTTGCTTCCCGTTTCATTTTATACCTATAGGAAACTACGATGTTCAGCCACTCCACTGTTTTGAATGTGATTGTACCAATATATTATTGATATTCAGCTCTACTCTTGTTTGTTATTCAGTATCATGGAAGCAGTCTACATCATTTGATGTTGCTTTTTGATCTTGGACTGGAGAAGGATAAACATGCTAAGTTTAAACTCGGACAATCTGGAGATGCCATTGGTCACCATTTTTAAGATGAGAGCTGAGGTTTGAAGAACTGGGACCAGGTGAAGAGGTATTATCCTAAAACATTGCAATCTATCTTTTTGACATATTACAGATATATATGTAGCTTTTAACCACTAACGCCCTGCAAATGATGACGTGTGTGTTCGCTCTTTAACGAATTATTTTTGGGAGGAAGCTCATATATTAGAGCATGTTATCCTACACAACTTCATAATGAATGTACTGTAGACAGGGTATGAAACCATGCATCTTTTGAGACTACCTCCAAAAGCCTCCCTTTGTGAGACCAATCTCAGATGAATTGATAATCATAACTGGAAGAGTCCATTAAGGCTTCAGTTTCTCTACACTCAATTTTATAACCAAATTCCATCTATGCAGCTATTTCATATTCTGTAAGCTGCAATGAATTATGCGATTGACATCCTTTCACACAGAAATCACGCCATCCCCCTTTCACACATACATACCATTCCCATGCATTCACTATACACTTTGCTACACACCATCCATCTTCCTGTCTCTCTCTCTCTGTATAGAACAAGATGAGTGTGTTTAAAATCAGCTAAAAACAATTCATGTATCTGACAAAGTAGCCTTAAATTTATCTTTGAGTGCCTAACACTAGAATAAAGATTTCAAAGGATTACCAGGAAGATATTAGATTTTATCAATGTCTATTCATCCTGGATAATTTGGCTCTCTTACACATTCCTTGGTCATCAGTACATGCTGTTTGATTTCTCCAATTTAGTTCCACCTCCTGCCATGTGACATAAGTAATTCTGATTTGTTCCCTCCTAAACAGCCAGCAAAACCTTGGCAATGTTTTGGATTTTCAATTCCTAGAAGGATTTCTGGTTTATTGCAATGGGTGAACATAATCAGTTAGTTGGTGTTCTTACAATCACAGGAGGAACTATTTTTCTGCATTTTAAATTCTTTATTTTGAGAGTGGCCAACAGCAGAATTAAATTATCTTCCATTTGTACAAGCCATATGAACATTGCACTCCACATACACTAAAAGATTCCAATCTGAGGAGCCTGTGACATATGCATCTCATTAAAGTAGCTGCTGTTTTCTGAAGTAGTTCTGCTGGCATCTGAAGTCGGAGATGTTGGATGGAGCGTGACTGATTGGCCATGAATCAGCCTCATGGTAGAAACCAGGGGTGATCTGGCCAACACCAGCAGGCATTAAATTTGGAAAGCATGCCCTTCAGTATGAATATTAAATCTGTGTTCGACTGACCCATTTTCCTGTTGCAGTGTTACTGACTTCAAAGGAATAATACAAAAGGAGAATGAAGCCCTAGTATATGTTGGAATTTGGATGCATTTCTTTGCCTTCTCATCTCACACTGTTCAATCACATTAACAAATCTGGATAACAAGCCCCTTATTGTACTTTTGGCATGTACACAAAGTTACACTTGTTTGCTGTAATGCTAATTAATACAGAACAATTGCCACCCTAGAAGCCTCATTAGCATGAACTGGAATTCCCTCTTGGCTCCTACAAGTGCATTAAAAGGGTAGAAAAATCTTACCAGGCAGCTTGGTTATTTCCTGAAAACATTGAACAAACATGCAACTGACACTTCCGAGACTTTGTAGCGAAGGGCCTAACCTTAACCTCATCACTTCATATTTTGTGTTTACATTGAGAACATAAAGTGTGTTTTATGTTTGAATCAAGGATACCTATTAGTTCAGTGATCCAGCCCAAAGCAAAGATCAAACTTGGAGCAAATGGGGGCAATTCAAGATAGAATCTGACTTAACAGATAACAGATAATCAGAGTTGGAAGGGACCTTGTAGGTCATCTAGTCCAACCCCCCACCCAAGCTGGAGACCCTACATCATTTCTGACAAATGGCAGTCCAATTTCTCCTTGAAAGTCTCAAGTGATGGCGCCCCCACAACTTCCGAGGGCAAGCTGTTCCATTGGTTGATTGTTCTGTCAGAAAGTTTCTCCTTATTTCTAGGTTAAATCTCTCCTTGTTCAGTTTCCATCCATTATTCCTTGTCTGGCCTACAGGCACTTTAGAAAATAGCTTGACTCCTTCCTCCCTGTGGCAGCCCCTCAAATATATTGGAAGACCGCTATCATGTCTCCCCTGGTCCTTCTCTTTACTAGACTAACCAAGCGCAGTTCCTGCAACCGTTCATTGTTTTAGCCTCCAGTCCCCTAATCATCCTGGTTGCTCTTCTCTGTACTCTTTCCAGAGTCTCAACATCTTTTTTATAATGTGGTGAACAAAACTGGATGCAGTACTCTAGGTGTGCTCTTACTAAGGCTTTATAGAGTGGTATTAGTACTTCCCTTGATCTTGACTGTATCCCTCTGTTAATACAACTTAGGATTGCATTAGCTTTTTTGGCTGCTGCTGCACACTGCTGGCTCATATTTAGCTGGTTGTCCACTAAGACTCCAAGATCCCTCTCTCAGTTACTGCTATTGAGCCTGGTTTCACCCAGTCTATATGTGTACTTTTGGTTTTTCTTGCCTAAGTGTAGGACTTTACTTTTCTCTACATTGAATTTCATTTTGTTAGATATGGCCCAGTGTTCTAGTCTGTCAAGATCCATCTGGATCTTGAGCCTATTTTAGCCAATGCAGGAATGAATAACTCCAAGCCACTCATTCCGATTCAAAAACGTCCATGAAATTTCAATCCTATTTATAAATGTAGATAGTGCTGTGGAAATTGTGACGGCCAGTTTGATGTGCTATAGTTTATCAGGTTAGAAACTGGGAGACTGGGAGTTCTAGACGTGCCTTAGGTATGAAAGCCAGCTGGATAATTCTGGGCCAGGCCTTCTCTCTCAGCCCTAGGAAGGAGGCAGTAGCAAACCACTTCCCAAATCTTGCCAAGAAAACTGCAGGGACTTGCCTAGGCAAACACCAGGAGTCAGCACTAACTAGAACAGAACACACCCAGCCAAGTTTGCCCAAAAAGGTTTAGGAAGATGTACGCAAAAAGTATTTTGGTGTTTTATACCAAATTGAGGTAACTGGATACTGATTTAGGTATCGACAGATCTGCTCTTAGATCAAATATTATTGGTGACCCCAATAACAGATTTTGAATGGGTAACAGGATTAGGAATTCAATAAAAACATCCAGGTAATTGTTGGCACTGAGGAAGCAGGGTGAATATCTGCGAAAGTACATTCACAAAGGCTTACTGAAAACTTTGAGAATGGTACAGAAGTGGTTTATGTGCTAGTTTAGTCCAAAGAAAGCAACATGAGGCACCTGGATATATCCTTTAATTACTTTCCCAATTAAAGAAAAAAATACATCTGCATATATCTTTGAAGGAAGGTTTATTTTTTTAAATAATATAGGGGGAATGCTTCCAACAATAAATTCCACAGAATCAATTAGGGATTGTATGAGTTTCTGGAGCACTGTATCCAGCTTAAAAAGATGGCAGCTTTAAGTCTTTGAACAGTGCAAATTCATAAAGTCCAGTTCTGAATATGTATTTAATTATTCCTGTACCAGTGAGACATCAGCCTTCCATTTAACACAGATGGCAGGGGCTCGCATGGAAGGCCAAAACAAAGATGGCAAGAGACAATAAATGCAGGCATGAAAATTGCCCAGTTCGATCCAGATGTTGCATTTGATTGTGTAAGATGCCATTCATCAATTGAAAAACAGACCCTGCCCCTGCAGGAATAACGCTAGGAAGATGATGTATCAGTGAGACATCATAAAGGGTTGAATATTGGTACAAAGCTTCATTTCGAGTATTAGACTGAGTCACCTTCAAGATGACTCAATGTTCTGAATGAATCTCCAAATCAGATACCTGCATGAATTGGATGTATCAGACTGAACTAGGTATCTCTTGAAGGTTTCAATGTACATATCAATGTTTATCCCACAGAACCATTATTGAAGTTACGTTAATGGAAAAAAATTGGGCTGCAAATCCTAATTGGATCTTGGCTAATTTATCCTTAGCAAATATGCATCACAAATCATCACTGTTGCCCTGATTTAATACAAATCTAATTCAAGTGCACAAAATCGGGGATTCCAGAACCACAAGGAGTCCATGAAAACTTCAGGTATACACCCTAAAAACCTCTATAACTAGTCTTGAAGGAAAGTCAGGATTTCTAAATAGTACTAAAATGATTTAAGTATATTTAAAGCAATGAACTCAAATCCAATGCAGCCTTTCTTTAGGCCCCACGTTCTGCTTCTTGGAGTAAACTTAGTATTGCATTCAAAAAACCAAGCGTGGCTCTAAGTCCAGAAAAAGTATTGTACCTTTGCTTTTTAGAGCAGAAGCAAGCAAGCAAGCAAATGCAAAAATTATTCACAGACTTCTCATATTTGTATATACATATACATAAAAGAAAACAAATATACATAAAATTGTACACAACTGTTTCAATGTATTTTGCTTGTTGTATTGTTTCTTTATTCAGTTTCAATAAATAAAGGCAAACAGTAGAACTGGAATCAATGATGCCCGAAATTCCTGGGCATAGTTATCAGTGACATCAACCTTCCAAGGTATTCCATATGATTAAAGAAACAGTACAGTAGTTGGAATTGAGTCATGTAGGCAAAAGCAATATATGTATCTGATCTTAAGTGCTTGCTATTAACAGAAAAGACACAACCAGGATCCACTGTATTTTCATTCAATCCACAGGAAAAAAATAGGATTTTGCAGTTTAGAATATTCAGATGTTTATGTCATCCTAAAATCCATTGTGCACGGGTATATGGACATTAATTCATAATCCAAACTCCACAAAAGCCACAGCAGAGTAAAATATGAAATTAAAAATAAACCAAGAGGGTAATGTGTAACAGGTGTTAAGCAACATGGAAATCTAAAAAGTGAAATCCACTTTAAATTAGACCCCCATTAACAGAAAAGTACAAATATTTTAAAGTATATCATCAAAAATACATGAATCAAATTGTGGTGAATTTTCTGGTGTGGGCACTTTGTAAGCAGGTTTCCACCTGCTGCATATGAGGTTACAGATATGTGCCATTAAAGTATATAACTAATGGACAAAATTTGTTATCCAGGTTATGGGCTCCAACTATAAATATGCATTGCTATAAACTATTCCAAATTAAGGTAACAGTCCTATTATTGTCAGCCTGACAAATGTTTACCAAAATCTTCTGTTTCAACCTTTGCTCTGCTTTAACATTACCTTGTACAATGACTACATCTCTGACATTTCTAACTAGGAGGGGGGGGGGGGGGAATCAAGTGTTCATTACAGTAATTATCCCTCAAGTAGAGGAGGAAAATGTGATTATGCAATTTATAAAAATGCGAAGAGTGAAGCTGCTCTGATTATGACTGATTAATTTTGCTCACAAGCTCTGGCATTAATCAGAATAGGCCGACTCTTAGATAATAAGAACAGAGACAGAAACCTAATCTGCAGATCACCTACAAGGAAATCAGTTGCGTTTTATCACAAATTTGGGTAATATCTCCCTGTGTTGAAACATTGTGCATTTGTTTATAGATGTAAAAAAGCTTCCCTGCCTTCTTTGAAGAAATGCATTTATGCTCTATTATAAAAAATGACCATGAAAACAAAACTTTAGAATATTCAAGAGTATTTTTTTCTTCAGAGCAGATGTTATACTTGGACATGAAACTGAACAGCAAACTAAGGAGGCCTCTTGTCACAGGACAAAGTATGGCACTGAAACAGAAATTCCTTATTAAGTACTGTCCTGATTCTGCTTGGACTGAACTATTGGCTACTACCTTGAATCTGGTATGCAGTGCAATGGGATATCAATATTAATCCTTATGTAGCTGAAGAAATTACATTACATCTCAGGATCAATTTGGGCAGATTTTTTTTCTCCATGTAACCCTTGCTAGCAAAAGCAGGATGCATCTCACTGCTTATTTTTCTGCTTTACTAAAGCAAAGTTCAAGTACAGTACCAGAGTAGGCCCATCACACATTTTCAAACCAATCTTAAATCTATTCAGAATCTATTTTCATATACAATTGAACAGACCATAGCTCAACAATTAAAGCTTACAATTCAATGTATATGTTACCTTAGAATCATTTCACTGAATTTAATAGGGACTGACTATATAGCATTAGGCTGGGAGGGGAGGAGGTATTAGGATTTCTAGAATTTCCTTAATAAAATTATTTGGGCTCCTCACAACTAGCTCAATTATCATACAAAATAATAGATATTCAGGCTCTCAAAATAGTTGAGATAACAATATGTATTTAGTCTCTGAGCATATCTTCTAATTGAGAACACAGAATTGTACCTAGACTACCATTTAATCGGAGACTTGTAGGAATCCACCCAATCTTACAAAAGCTATAGCAAAGTTCTAATTTTCCCTTTCAATCTAAGGATTTTTAGAGCTGGAAGCTGTAAAGGAACTGGAGAGATCAAGGAAAGAACATTATTAGCATTTTCCCCAAAGAAGATAGGAATGCAACTATGTGGTGTCACCAAAGTAGAATTTTGGGCAAAATTTGGGGGCAAGATGGGGTTGTACAGTATTTTATCCCTATTATCTGGGACAATATTTACTGTTATATATTACAGACCACTCAGGTATACCAATAACATTCAGACCAGAGTTATTGATTTTTCCTCCTGTATCTATCTCTAGTTATTGTGATAGGTTATTCAGTCTCTTAACTGTCTCAGGTTTGAGGCACTTTCCATTACATTTTCAGAAAATCTCTCCTGAGGCAATGTTTTTTATTAATATATTCTGACATTGCTGGTGAAATGTGTCTATCAATTCTGCACACTATATCAAGTTAGAACTTTTTAGCCATCATCTCTGACACGGCTGCTCCAAAACTATTAATTTAGAAAAAGGTTCAGAGGGATAAACTTGAATCTGAGTGTTTCTGAGGTAGCTACTGCCACCTACAGGCTTAAATATTAGGCTCTGTTGGAAAATTTGGGATGCAACTAAGAAACTTCCTTTCACATTTGGAAGCTGGGGTAGTATTCTCAGAAAGTACAGCCCTCCAATTAATAAGTAAAACTACTGATTTTGGCTTCTGATGACTTTTAGAAACTATCTGCATGTAAAATTATTTCCAGCTCTATCAATATATCGTTGGTTTATTTTATCTCCAATCTTTTATTGTCTATTAGGAAATCTATGTAAGGCAGGGTTCCAAATTACTGCTGAATGAACTCTTGCTTTATTTTTTCGGTATTCTAGTTTCCTTAGAAGAGCCCTAGGTACAACCTAAAACACCTTATCAGTTCCACAAACTTTAATATTAATGTCTGCAGCCTGTTTCCCATTCTATCTTAAACCTGTAACTAAACAGACCCCCCGAATAAGCTAATCCTTTGCTTCTTTCATTTTTTGCTGTATCACCTGTAATAATGATGACTTCTACAAAATGCTTTGTTTGCTTGTTATACAACGATGCAATTAGTAATTAGAATGTATGTGCACATAATTAGTTGATAAATCAAAACACTCTGAATCTATGCTGAGAGACAGTAAGGGCGGGAATGTAACTCTCCAAGATAGATCTATCGGATCTGGCCTTAAAAAAATCTAGACAACCACTACAGGGCATCAAAGAGATAAATGAAACTAACTCTTGCTTGCCGCCTGGTGATTATCTAGATTTCTGTAGCCAATATCTGATAGACTTACATCAATTTGAAGTCCACAAGCTACTTACTAAAGCCCAAAAGAAATTTACTTGCTAATTTTCTTTTTCCTTTTTAGGATTGTTAAATACAGGGGGAAACAGGAAGCAGGTAAGTCACATATTTTTGGCTCTAAGTTTAAAAAGTAAGTTATATACATTAGTCAATTCTGAATTTACAGTACAGCTCATTTTGGGAATGAGAACTCTATGGAAAATTAATACACATAACAGGAATTTATAGAACCAAATTCAGAATTTTTGATACATATATTACTTTCTTTTCTAGATCAAGAGTATGTGAGCTGACTCCACATTTTTAGAACTGCTGGATTTGTTACTTATTCATTCACGGAGCCCTTTTGGTCAAAAGTGTTTTTAAGTGACTAATGACTATGCAATTAAAGGAGAGTACACCCAACAACCCCCCCCAAATAAATTGTCTATCTAAAATAGTCATGCATGACATCTTGAAACCAGTGATTGCTGCTGCAAATACCCCTGCATGAAAATCAGATTTGTGCATAAATTTGAGAAGAGATGCGCTGTTGACAAAAATTGTAATATCAATAAGGGAAGAGGAACCTATTTTGGTCAAAACTGAACTGGATCTGGTTTTGCACCAGGAGCCAGCATATATTGGTAACCACTATTCTCTAATGGCCCTTCAAAAAGACTGCCCTTTATAAAATACAACACAAATCAGGGTGATAAAATTCGATGACTTTTAAAAAAAATTAAATCAGATTTTTAAATTAAATTGGATTTTTAAATTTTTTATCAAATTTATTTTAATAAAATGCTTCTGGAGAAAAGTATCTAAAGATAGTTTTCTATTTAAGATACATTAATAATTTAGTTTATTCAGCATGAAATGGAGCTTAGTTATGTAGCATGAGGCTGTATATTCTGCAATATTTACATTTTTGGTAAACTCGTTCAATGAATCCAACATGATGCATTCACACAATTTCACAATAACCATGAGATAAATCATAAAACAAAGTTCAGGAATATTTCTTTATCCCATTGTACTGCAAATCTATGTACAGTACAAACTGTATGATTGCTTGAAGAGAAATGCATCTGTACCACCAGGCTCTAAGTGTGAGGAGGAAGGGCAAGCAGTAAAAGTGAAAGCTTCTAAGCAGCTTATAAATATATTAAAGAGTATCTGTCATTTCAGATCCATCATGGCAGTGCCTGTTAGCGGACATCCACTCACCTGCTGCACACCACGTCCCTCACCTTGTTGTGTCACTGCCGCATCACCAGCCATCCCATTAAAGTGAATGGGACTGTCGGTTAGTCAACAGGTCAGAGGATGAGCCACTGTGGGACAGAGATGAAAGTTGCTCCTTAAAAATTATGATTTAAATCAATTTGATTTAAATCAATCTTTTTTACTACCGGTAGTGATTTAAATCACGATATAAAAATATTTTGCATAGTTTCTGGTCTCAGAGTTTCTAATTAGTTGCCTCTGAGAAATCATATTAGGGAAACAGCCCATTCATTTCATGTGCTCCAGAAACTTAATCTGATAGTAATTATATGAAACAGAAAGATGAAATTTTAGTCAGAGTAAGCTACAGCTCTTAGGCACAGTGAAATTTATCTCTAGAATGTGAAGACATTGTTCAGTTACCATCACCCGTAGCCTATGCCCCTGCTAAGATTGCTGGGCACTGTTATGCAACAACATCTGGTAACATAGATTCCCCATCTTTGTAATGGAAAGATTTATCTTACAACCACATGGCATATGATCAATTCAATCTTAATGTTTTCATATTGCAATATTTAATATAGAAGAATGTTCAGAATACTATTCTGAATATGTAATCTAAAATAGCAAAGTACTGGAATGAATTTATTTTGGAGATTTGATTCAGCAAGTCTTTGCTGGAGGATGTGCTTCTAAATATAAGCACAGAGCTGAAAGAATATTGAGCAATTACGCTGCAGAACACTCCATTAGAATTAAAATAATACAGTTGTCTTGGATACAGACTACAGGCTAAGCCCAGCTAACAGTAAATCTAACTTCACTTCTGTCTAAAGTATGTCTGGAAGAGAAGGAAGTACAAAAGAGAAAGACAGGAAGTTTCCTTTGTTTCTTAAACATATAGAAAATAATTACTAACAATGTGCCTGGAGAAAAATAAGACACAAGGACAATCTGTGAAGACCCTTCTCTGTCTCTTCTCTTTGTTCTTGTGATCAGAAAGGCTCATGAGTTCCAAGAGATAACACAAACTCTAATAGTTTACCAGACAACCTGCAGTTGCACAGACTAGGTTGTGGCTACATGGGTACCTTCAATGTAGTTGATGCAATGTCATATGATATTCTTGACACTGTGATCTAAAACAGGGAATTATTCTTTATTTAAGTAATAAAAAAAATCAAGAAGCTAACCCTAGATAGCATGTGGTTTTTGGCCTTCCTCCTTACAGCAGAATGTGCAAGTTTGTTCTGGATGCTACATTTTCTTCTCTGGATCAAGGAAATTCAACAGATGATTTGTAATAACTTTTATTTAACTGTGCATTACATTTTCAGATAGAATGTCTGCCTATTTATCTTTTAATATGGAATTGCCATATTTTTTGCATTATAAGACGCTCCAGACCATAAGACTCACATAGCTTTTGGAGAGAAAAACAAGGGGAAAAAAATCTGCCTCTCCCTCCCAGCAATTTACCTCCTTGCAGCAAATAGCCTGGTCAGCTTCAGCACAACCTGATTTAGCATGAGCAGCTGACTGACGGTTGGATCAGCCTCCAGGAATACCACCGATTAGCTATTCCAGGCTGCGGGATCGCCACCGCCCATCTCCACCGCCGCCACTGATCACCGCCTCTGTGTGCCCCATTTCTGGCCTCCAAGCACCCCATTTTTGGCTCATTCCAGGCGGCGGGAATTGGCGGGGGCTGTGATCTCCACCACCTGGAACAGGCCGAAAGTGGGATGCGCGGAGGCCGAAAATGGGGCACACCAAGGCAGCAAGGGATGGCAACGGCAGCGAGGGGAGGCAGCAATCCCCACAGCTTGGAATTGGCAGTATTCTGGGAGGCCGATCCAACTGCCAGTCAGCTGCTCGTGCTAAATCAGGCTGTGCTGAAGCTGACCAGGCTGTTTGCTGCAAGGAGGCAAACAGCTGGGAGGCAGAGGCCGAAAGATGGGGACTGGCGGGTAGGTGGGGCTTTGGCAACGTTTGCTCTATAAGACGCACAGAAATTTCCACCCTCTTTTTGGGGGAGAAAAAGTGTGTCTTATACTGCAAAAAATACGGTAATTAAATCCTGAGTACTATCCTTCCAGTTTAAATGAGGCAGGAGACAGATTTCATAGAAATCATGAGAACAGCGGAAAGAAAATTATGTATATTATTATCATTGTCTCTTACCTTTATTTTATACAATTCAAGGTGGCATACCTGATTTTTTTCCCCACAACAGTAACAATAAAAATAAAATAAATAAAACGAGGTGGGTTGGGCTTAGAATGACTGGCTGTCACCTGGCCAGGTTCTGTGTGTATGGGAGAAGTAAAAGCTAATCCATTACACCAAAGTGGCTCATCACAAATTCTTGACAATGAATTTATAATATGAAAGCAGATATATTCATGTAGTCTGGGCTCAGCAAAACTATTTTTAACTCACAGTACTCCCATTCCAGAATCTTCACTAAGATGGAAATATTTTTTCAAACTATGAAATTGCAAAAGTAAGTTTTTATTTTTTTCCCACGTGTATAGCTACTACAAAATAAAGTACATAAGTATTGCTATAATCCAATTCAAAGCCGTAATTTAAAAATTGTGCATCAGTAGTCTGAAAAGGCCAAACAATAAAACAATAATTATAACCTGTAATTTAATTTCATTCATTTTAATGTAATGATTAGGTATTGCCCAAGTCCAGGATGTTTTTGGGGGGCTCATAATATGAAAAATAAAATAAAAAACAATTCAAAAAGACAAAATTCAACAAAAACAATGGTGTAGGGACAAAATAAAGAACAAGATGGCAAACCTGACCAACCAAATATAAATAACAGGAACCTCAATGGGCTCCAACCACCTAACCCAAGGACTGAGAGAACAGCCAGGTCTTGAAGCCCCTGGGAATCCCAATAGGGTAGGAACCATCTGGATCTCACAGGGAATTACATTCCAGATGGCAGGCACTATAACAATATATGCTGCATTAATTTTAAATCCAGCTTTACAAAAGCTAATTACAAATGCTTTAAACACATTTTTTCAATTTTGTAAACCACACTCCTGGCATAGGGTATAATTTTGGTGGAAGCCGATTCCAAAGGACTGGCACTAGACAGGGAAAGCTTTAACCTATCATGTGGCTACTTTACTAGGCTGAGATCCCAGCTGGCTCTGCTTAGATGATCTGGTCAAATGCAAGGCAGGTAAGATGCAAGCCAATATTCTAAGTCACTAAGTACTCTGGCATGTAACCACTAGCCACTTAAACTGCTACTCCAATATTCAGGGAGGTCCAGAATTGTACTGGATCAGGGACCAGAGAGAATTATTAGGTTAGTACTGTTCCAACAGTCAACAGACTGTTCCAAACACCCAAATATAAGATAATCAAGACATAAACAGCTGCTGTGTTGTCTCTATGGCTAAGAACCAATGTAATCTATGAATGCACATTACACAGAAAAGCTTCAGAATGGCTTTATTAATGAAGGGCTTTAAAGGATCCCCAGATTCCTAAAACCAAGGAAGCCCACAGTTGGTAGCAATGAAGGTATAAAGGGATGGGTTAATCAGAATGGAAGACAATCTCCATTCACATTGAGCTTCAGAGGATAGTTGAATTCAATCAATCAAAAAGCCCACTAAGGTTATTTGGAACAGGATGCTGACAAAACAGGAGCAGAGAGATATATTTGGGACTTGTCAGTATATGTGCAGTAAACTGATGCAAAGAAATCAGATGATCCAAAGGAAGCTTGTGTAAAATAAAGTAAAAGGAACTCAACACCAAATCTTTGGGAATATCCACCTATGATAAAGGGGTGGGAAAGAAATCAGAGGACAAAGATAAGCAATAATACATAAAATAACACTAACAACTTTATTCTATATTGCACAAAGGCAACTGAACCTATAGAAAATCAGTCCTCCCCAAAACACTACAGTAAAACATATTAAGTTCCTGTTGATTTCTTACAAAGGCTATAAAGCAGATTTTCCAGGCACCTTCTTAAAATTCATCCTTTGCTTTCCCAGTCTTTACAATCCTCATCTCTCTTGACCTGTCCATTGTTAGCAGTTCTAGACATTCTATCACAACAGTTTGTGTGTGTTCCCCCCCCCCCTTCCCTGTAACCAAGTTCTACTTGTATCCCATCTTAGAATTTAAGTTACTAAAATATATGCTGGTTGTTATAATCATTGAAGTCACTTGATAAGTCAAATTTTTCATCTTCAACACATTAGAGGACGTTAACACGATAGGAGATAAAATCCTCCTTGAATCCAACTTGATTTCCTGTGACTTCCATGGCCATGGTCATGTAGTTGTCTTGATAATAATTTATAAGTGACTTGCTATTTATTGCCTTGTAAGATTTCCCCCCCCCCTTCTCAATGGTCTACAAGTCTAATGACTTCCT